TCAATTATCTACTATACTGAAAATACAATGTTTAAAAAACAAAATACCTGATGACTTTGAGACAGGAGGGCACCCGGATGTTTAATTGTGCTGTCCTCTTTGATAGAAACCAGCTTCATTTTCAACTGTTTTATCTTTTAGGCAGCAGCTCTTTCACTGATGTCTTATCATTTTCTCACATTGCTCAAACCAGCCTAAAATGCTCTTGTCCATCCAAATCTTGCCTGGCTTAACGGGCAACAGGCATTTACCCCTCCTTACATGTATGGAAGCCATCACTGTGAGCTGTCATTGGTCAGAGAGATGAGGCGGGGGAGTGGCCTCATTGACACTGAGAGCTCTCATGGGTGAAGGGGTGAGAGGTAAGCGGGGTTACAGGGAAAGACACTACAGAGAAACAGGCTCTTGGCTCTCCCTTATCGGTCAAACGCTGAACCTTATTTGTGTTTGCAGCAAAGGGGTCGGAAGTCCATGCAAACAGAAGCTGGAAGGCCCCAAGGTTTCTAGTCACTTTTCTTTTAGCGTGCAAGGCAGGTAGGAACTGAATGAGTCATCCATAAAGTAGAGGCTTGGAAGCAGAGGGCCTTTTATGATAAGAGGTACTTTTAACATCTAGGATTCACAAAAACAAAGGTCTCGTAGAAATATAAGAGAAAATCTCCGTAATTAAAAAACTTAATTTGGGGGTCTGGGGTTTTTTTTGCTAGCTAGCTAGCTAGCTAATATGACAATCTAAATTGTGATAAACTACCTCGGACAAGCTGAAATGTATTTATTTATTTTATAACACACTGCACAGATAACAAAAATGTGTTAACACAAGACACCAAATTATGCATGGATGGGTGCTACTGAAAATTAAGGCCACAGAGGAGTAATAACCTACTATTTAAGTCCCGCAGTTCCACACAGCAAAACAAGTTCACTTTTGCTAAAGTTGCATGCATATCCTGCTAAACTTCAGTTTTAAAGAGAACACTGAGGACATTGTGAGCGCTTCCATTTTACCCACTAAAAGCAGTGAATGCATGTCTGAATGTGGATCACTCTGCAATATACAATAGGAGACTGCACCACATTTCAAGGCCCAATAGATGGTGCTATATTGTGAAACATTTTTGAGACTTGACAGCCCTGTGCAGCTCGCGCTCAAGTAGATACAGAGCAATTTAAAATAACCTGGAAATGATCAGTGTTTAGGAAATGTATCATAACAACGTGGGAAAGCTATGAGAAAATAATGGAAGAAACACTACAAATGACTCTGAGGTGTCAACACTAGAAATTAGAAATTGGGTTATTTTAATCTTACCTAATGTCTTCTCTCTCTCTCTCTCTCACTCTGTGTGTGTGTGTGTGTGTGTGTGTGTTTGCACGTTAACTGGTCTCTTGAGTGTGAAAACTGCGTGCAAAACATGGCACAGAGACAGAAAAAGAAAAGACCAAAAAAACAGGTTTTAAACAAGCATCAGAGAAACTTTTGTACTTGAGACTGTATGAGTGCTGATATGAATGTGATATTCAGAGGAAATGGCAAAAGAAAGGCAGAGAAAGAGAGAGAGCAGGAAGAGGCTGCACCTGCAGAGGAGGTCTTCAGCTCTCAAGCCACCCGCTGTGCAGAGGGAGAGAGAGGGGGAGAGAGACAGATCGACAGAAGGAGAAGCGAAAGAGACGAGGGAAGGGGGAGCGCAAAAGAGGCTGCAGCAGCTGCAAGGTTCAGAGAGAGGGAGCACAGTAGAAGTCAGAGCTGGGAGAGAAAAGAAAGAAAGGCAATGGAAAGCAAGAGTGCAACCTCTTTTTCTTCCAAAGCCCCCCTGCTATGTCTCCCGTTTGCACTCTTACAAATTGCATAAAACTGCAAAAAAGAGAACGAGTGGTGGAGAAAAAAGACGAAAAAGAAAAAAAAATCTGCAGTGCTCGGCTGGTGTTTGAAATCATATGTAAATAAGGCACATTGATAATGAAGCGCCAGAGGAGGAAATTCCACTAATTACCTTACAGAGACTTGACAGGGAGCAGGAGGCGAATGTACTTGACGCACTGTTTTTCATGAAAAGGACAGAAAAGAGAGAGGAAAAGATCTGATGGCAAGACGACAGGTTTCCATTTAAAGTCAATGTAAGTCTTTCATTTAGCTTTTGATTCCAAGTAATCGTGGGTTTCTATGTGAACGTCGAGTTGTTAGGTTAAAGGAATGGGTTGGTTGAAAAGGAATCAGGGTGATTCACCATTCAACTGCATGTTTTATTTCATATTAGAGAGGAGATAGATAAATTATGCATGTCAGAGGGGGTCGATTTTAAATAAAGCTGTCACCGGCAAGTAGCGGTGAATCGAGCGCTCTATTCTGGGCCTATTTTTTTTTTTAAAAAGGCAGTTTGGTGTTAAAATGTAAATCATTTGTGCACTGATGCTTGAAAATAAAGTAAAATAAATCTTAGTTATTTTATCAAAGATCTTGTAAGCAGGAAGTTGGTATTTTAAAATACCAACTTCCTGCTTACCTCTTTTTATTCAATCCATGTATTTATCTCAGAGGGAAGCAAGACTGACTGAACAGAGCAGAGAAGATAACATACAAAGTGACTTGTTGTGTAGTGGAGGACATGCAGACAGCAGAGCCTCTGTGCCACGGCTATAAACACTATAAACAAGGCTCATCCTCCTCTGCTTTTATTGTGCGTTCCTTGCAGGCCTCACTAAATTATGTCTCCAAGTGTGTATAATACCGGAGCATCTGTTTGTTCCCTTTTCGAATAAATAGGTAGTGTTTAAATTACACTGTTTAAAGTACCCTCTTGCCGTGGCAGTCGTGGGGACTGGAAAGGAAACACAAAAATTAATTAGGAGACGGATGCTTGCACAGCATTTCTTCCAGGTGCATTTTGCACTGACGTCCAAGGACATTAGTGCCGTCTTTGATAGATTGAATAATCAAGAGAGTGAAAACAAGGCATGTGACCTCTCAGCGAGGCTTGCTGAACCGTGTCAGTTTACAAACAAGTTCTACTTTCTTGTCTCAAACTCTCTTGCTCCTCTTACCAAGTGTACGGAAGACTCTTATACAAGTTTAGTTCAGATTTTCATTGGGAAAAAACAATCCCATAGACAACTTCCATCTATCCATTTTCTTCCGCTATTTAAGTCAGGCCTGCAAGAGCCATCGTGGGGTGAGATGCAAGGTTGCACCCTGGACGCCAGTCTGTTGCAGTGCTAACACATAGAAACAGGCAACCATTCGCACTCATATTCACACCTATGGTCAATTTAGAATCACTACTTAACCTAGCTCGATGCATGCTTTCTTCATGTTTGATAAGGCAGATTTATTTTTATAAACCGGATGCCCTTCTTGATGCAACCCCAAGTTAATTTTGCGTCTCCTCCCAGTGTTAAACTGGGGCTCGTTTGCTTATCAAGAAAATGAGTAAACCTAAAACTCTAGAGAACCATTGACTTAGCTCTAACAAAAATGAATAACAGTAGCACTTTATAAAGACAGACAAAGCACTTAAAACATCTCATATAAAAGCTAAGCATATCTTTTCTCTGATTTTCACTCGATTGCATTTTTTAAGAAGAAAGACTCCTCCCATGCTAGACTATCCCAGTGGCAGAGTGTACAAGGACATGTGCTAAAGTGAGTTGAATAAAAGTGTGTTATTGTCAGATCGTGAGCATTTTTACCCAATTAGACTTCAGATAAATTAGGAGGGTTGTACTTCTGGAAATCAATGTATTTTCAGCTTCAGTGATTAAAACTAAATGCCAAAGTTCTTTTTTACAGTCTTTAGTGTAAAACATCACACAGCATTTATGACTTCGGCTGTTCAACTTACTATGCTTCTTTACCTACCTGCCAGGTGCAGCTGCGAGTTAAAGACATCACTCATTCACGGGGAAAAAAAGAGCCCTTTTCCATCACAAAAAATAAATAATTTCAACGTTTTACCTCTTGTAGTTCTGCAGATCTACAAAAGGTGCCCAGCTTTAAGACTTTGTCACAGGAAATGGAGTCACTGAAGAGACACCTCTCTGAGATTGACTCGCCAACTGTCCTCTGCCACAACGACCTCCTGACAAAGAACATCATCTACAACGAAAAAGAGGGTGAGGAAAATTCTTTGGTTTTTAGAAATTCATCAACCTGAAAGCAGTAACAAACAAAAGAAGGCTTAATGCTAAACTACCTTAATTGTAGCTGAGGAGTGGCAGTGCTTCTGAAGCTAATGCTAAGATAGATGAATGTGTGGCAATATTCACATTACTGAAAATGCATTGTCCCTTTTTTAATATTTTACCTTATTTGAAGTTATTCTGTTATAAATTTTTCAAACATTTAAAAAAAATATCGCCCGGGGTAATGTTCAGCAAAAGAGACTCCCCGTTCCTTTGACTCTCACAAGGTTCCTGTACTTTCCATAAAAACACAAAGGCTTATCAGTTGTACATTTATAGCTGAAATGTGTTTATCATGTTGTCTTAGTAACTGCTGTTGCTTTTTCCCCCTACATCCATCAGGAATGGTGAAATTCATTGACTACGAGTATGCCGATTATAACTACCAGGCCTTCGATATCGGCAATCACTTCAACGAATTTGCCGGTGGGTCTTTCAAAATAGCATCAATTTACCTCCAAATCTTTTTCACAGCCAGGACATATAAGATTCCTTAATGTGGAATATATGACTGCAGTAAATATTGTAAACACAGGATGTGATATTTTCAACGTTGTGTTTTCTCTGACTACATCATGTTATGATATAATGTGCCGTGAAACGATCTCCTTCTTGTGACACTGCTCAGAAAAATTGCTGCATTCAGTATGTGTTCTGCACAGTGATTAAAGTGGCTTTGATGGACCAGCTGTGTTAGAGCAAAGCACAGCAAGGACTGTCCGAACAATCATCAATGCAGTCGTTTTAGATTATTCAGCTTTCAAGTTGTAACTTGCAAATTATCCACAATTCCCAATGACAGCAGCTGCAGTTATGTCTGATAGTCTTATGCAAGAAGGGGCTGACAGGAAGGGGCAGACATACTCCACACGAATCACATGCTGGAATGAAAGATACTGCACCTTTTATTCAAAGAAACAAATATTACAACTTTTTATTGTGTTCTTTTTTTTATCCTGATTATACCTCAAACAAAATTTGAAAATTAGCCGATGGCATGGTCTTGAATGATACAACTGTCTTGCAGACATTTGAACATAATTGTTGATGTAGGGAAGCTTTTATACGGGCAACATGAAAAACCAGTCTAGCTTAAATAAAGCGCTTCGCTATTATCTGTACAATATAACCCAGATGTTATACTATTGCTGATGTATGTAGAAGTCAACAGATGTGTCTAAGTGCCAGGGTGCTTATTTACACTTCACAGCATTTTATTACATTTTATATTTTTATATTTCACAAAATTTTATTTTTTAATTTAAAGTAGACTTGTCAAATAAATGCAGTGCAGGAAAAAGCACAATACTTTCTCTGAAATTTAGTGGATAACATGTTATCCACTAAATTTCAACATATTGTTGTCAGCATGTTGTCACCCAGTTTCCATGCTGCTTTCTTATAACTTGTCCATTTGGAGCAAACGTTTCTCACTGCCTGAGTGGGTCTGACAAGTGTTGACCAAAGAGCTGTTGCTCCACTCAAAGTAGATATAGTTCACTGGCACGTCTTCAAAACAAACAGTTATTTTAGGCATTGTGTTGGATTTTAGCACCGACGTTAGTTCCACTAATGTGCACGTATATGTGTCGCATTTCAGGTGTGAATGATGTTAACTACGACCTCTACCCGAGCTGGGAGCTGCAGAGGGACTGGCTGACGGCCTATCTGGAGAGTTACAAGCACAGCACTGGACGTGAGGTCACAGTCACGGAGGCAGAAGTTACGCAGCTCTACATTCAAGTCTGCAAATTCTCTCTTGTAAGTGTCTGCTCCCACTGACTTTGTTGAAATATATCATTATGTAGTGCCTCAGCTCTTTGGAAAGACTTTGGAAAGTGACAAATCTCTCAACAGTTATTTCCTTTTCTTAGGTTTTGCTCTTGGAGGGACTCGAATATCTCAATATTATGAGATTAGCGTATGCATTTCAACAACATCCATATGTGTGCAGAGCTGTGGAATGGCGGGGTGGCAACATCTCACCATCATATTTTAACAATTTACTTTTCCAACTCGCCCCCCCAACCCAAAGAAAACCAAACCATCCACAGCTGACCCACCACTGTTCAAACTTTGATGGACTCCATCTGAGTTGATTAGAAACTACCGCAGGGAAAAATGAAACACAGCAGCCAAAATTATTTTTCTTATGACCACAATTTTCATTCTTTGGTGTCTCAAGTGGTGCTGGACTATCTGTCTAAAAGTGCTTTCATAGCTCAACACAATATGCAGAATTGTCCAACCAATTTTGGGGTGGTGTAAATGTCTCTTGAAATAGCACAGAATTGATGAGAAGGCATATTACTTTTTAAAATAACTTGTGCTTCAGCCAAAAAAACCGAAAGGGAAATGCGTGTGTGTGTGCGTGTGTGTGTATAAGGGGTAGAATATAGCCTGAAACTGAGTGATAGAAGTGATAATATCACGTTGATTGAAATCAGATTTTCTGCAACAAACCGAGGCGGACTCTTGAAGGTAGTAGGAGAAATTGATCACTGACGCTTAACAAGCCAAGTTTCCAGCTCAACTCGCTTTGACAAGCTGTGTGTCAAAATGAAGCATACGGGGCAGAATACTGATATGTTTCTGCTTAAAAATATTTACAAATACCTGCATCACCATTAAATAAATTGATTACATCTGCTTTTAATGAAATCAATTAAGTACAAGTTTATCGGTTTGTATCTCCTTAGTATCACTTGGTACATTTGTGAAATAAAAGTATGTTAATATAATACCATGCTCCGTAGTTTATAATATAGACAAAAAGTGACACTGTAGGAATTGAGGGAAGCCATCCTGCACTGTGTGGCATCGAGGAGGCCTGGCCAGTTGCCAGAGCTCTGCGCCGTGGAGCTGCCTCCTTCCCGTCTTAATCCTTGGCAAACTGTGCCAAGACGCAGTGGGGTCCTTACAATCCGTCCTCTCCTCCGCAGGGATCCCCCATGATGCTGAAGCTGTAGCCTGTGGCTTGATGATGTCACTCTTCCCACACATTTATCATCTCCGTTTTTCTCAATGGCTCCCTGTCACCGATAGTCTCTGCTTAGTGTTAGATTAATGCTTTCTTAATGGAGAGCAGTTATTAATCATAATGGAAACACGCTCAATCTCCATCTCCAACTAAGGACAGAGATTAGAGATGAAAATCTGCCAGGGAGAAGGAGAAAAGCCAAGGGAAACCGCACATTGCTCTTCAAGTATTTCATTCCACCCTTTATTTGATTATCAAATAAAAATGTGATTATATCACTGGGCCACAGAACAGAGGCCCTTCTGGATCTTATTAAGACTTGCTATTAGTGGCCTTACCATGAAGATTTACAATAAGGGTGGAGAACAACAGAAATTTATGGAGGTATGGAGGTCTGCAAGACTAAGTGAGCAAAACCATTAAGGAGGGAACCATTCAATACAGAGGTTTGTCATTCTGACTAAGCAGCGCGCAACTGGCATGCAGCGGGAGCAGCAGCAGCAGTTCTGGGAGCAGTTACAACATGACAAGCGGAGGTCACTGAAGTGTGTTTTCACAGTTGTGCGCTATGGCAAAGGGGAATGTTGCAAGAGCATAAAAATACAGCACCTGCGATTCTGCACTGCAAACACAATGCACAGTTTTACACTTCTCCTGGGACTGGCTGTGTGTTCTTAATGAGCCTGTCATTCAAAGAGATTCCTTCGGTTCATTGTCTCAGCGAGCACACATTTTCCCTGCTGAAGTGTTCCTGAGCAAAGCATAACATTTGACCTCACTGTGGCCTCTGTGTAGGAGGCAAAGAATTATGCTTTTGAAACTTTGTTGTTTCAAAAGGGCGTTTGAGAATCTCATTGTGGTCACATAATGCTGTCATGTTGTCATTCCTTTGATGACAGAGTCCAATATTGTACTGACTGTGTGAGCTTTAATACCACAGGTAGGCAGTACAACATATAACTGTATTTTGTTAAACAGCACAATCCTTCAGTTATTTTTCCATTTTCCAATGATATTGTAATGTTCTTCTTTTTTTCAATATTCAATCTTTATTTTTTATATACTAGCTCCCTGCGAAATCAATTTAAATTGTACAGTTTTGTAAAACACCTGAAAAGTAGCTCCAAATCAGCTCAGACACAAATATGAACCAGAGTTACGCTTTTTGAAACGTAATTTTTTTTTTTATTTTTTTTTTTACTTCCACCAGGCATCCAGCTTCCTCTGGGGTCTTTGGGCCATCCTGCAATCACGTTTCTCCTCGATTGACTTTGACTTCCAAAGGTTTGTCCAACGTCTGACAAAGACATTTAAAACTCCCACAACTCAAAGTGTCACTCTGCATAAACAATGCTCAAGTTTCCTAAAATGTCCTGGGTGAGATGTCCCATCCATCAAAAACATGTTGAGTTCATTAGTATTTAAATTGATGTTCTAATTATGTTAAGTGACACCTTCACATTAAAACGCTCTCAGTAAATGTTTAATAAAGGAACCCATGTAACCGCAAATAAGAATTATTACTTCACTGCAGTTTTTTTTCAGCTGTTAATGTCATCATCCATCACTTGAAATACTCTGAAAAAGAAAAATATTTATAGGACATTGAATTTAGGCTCTCGGTATATTAGTGCAATGTTTAGACAAGCAGGATCTTCATTAGAAAGGAATGACAAAGAATTTGTTGGCAGTCAAACTGCGAAAAAAAAAAAACGGTTTAGAAACATAAGCCTAGAATATAGAAATATTTCATTCTCCCCCCAATGCTTCAAGTCTTTGTGTATTTAAAATCTGGCATAAAAAACAGGCGAGACAAACACACTTCTTCTACTCTTCATGTCACAGACAAAATATTTACACATGAAATTCTCTGCTTTTCTTCACTGATAAACCGCAACATAAGATGAAAGCCTCGGTTTTCACAAAGACTTTCAAAGGAGATCAAAACTAACGTCTTTTATTTTTAACAGTGATCACCATTGAGGACTAGTTATCTTAAACAAGTCCAGGAGACATTCCTCACCGGCAGCAGCACTCAGACAGTTCAGGAAGGCAAAATGTTTCCCTCAACCCCCACTTTTTTTCTGCCTTTCTCCTTTTTCTGCATACCCCACACCCACAACAGTTGTGATCATGATCCTAATCACTATTGACACACGGCACCCTCCCCTCTGTGTGGCTTTTTCTACTCGCTTGCAAGATCAGCGACAGGGCCCCCACCTCATTTCAATCTGGACCTTGGAGGAAATGTGATCCAGAGGGGTGCTGAGGCACAGAGGCACTATTGTTCCAGTGCCGTCGTTCCTGCCTTACATATACATCTCTCATCCCTGGCTGGGCCACATGTGCCTGCTGAACGTCTACTCCTTTAAGCTACCGGCTGAGGTTGTCCTAAAGTGGATGGTGAGGGTTGGGTTACCTTTCTTTAACTGGAGGGTTAAACTGAAACGAGCTCTGAGAGCAACAACAACAATGGAGAACCAAGTCTAATGTTTAAAAGCGGGAGGCTACTATCTAGCTAACCTCTGCCCCACGCCCATCCCTGTCATGCAAGACACATTCATGCACTTAAGCCTCCCTTTCAGGCAAGAGATACATGACATCGCTGGCTTCATCGATCTGTTAAAGTGACAACATTATTACATTCAGACATAGGTAACCTTTGGCTTAGTGCAGACATACATACAACAGGCAACATCAGTAATTGTGCAATTTTTGTACAATACATGCAAATGAGTTTTGCTCTTCAAGAAGAAAAAAATAAGAAACTATTTAAACCTTGAGTTGTTGCATGGGTGTGCATACTTGTCTGTGTTGTGTGTGTGTGTGTAATTTCTCCCACTGCTATCCCCCTGAGCCAAATCACCAATAACTTCCCAACGAGTGACAGGCGTCACCCAGGCCTTGTGCTCTAACCAGAGCCAGATGTAAATGTGACAATAGGGAGCCACAAGGGGAACGCAAACCCGCCCTCCTTTTACCATCCATATTTACTTTTCTTATATGGTTTTTTTCATGTGTTGAAAGTGTCTGCAAGTCAGCAGTCTAGATTTGTGGACGTGCTGGCAAGGCGAGCTGTTATTTGACAAAGACATTATTATAAGGAAATGAACAAGGAGGAGGCCCACTGTTTGGAATAGCTTGACTACAAAATTGAGGGAATTGTGCACAAAAGCACATTGTGAAATGGAATACCTGCATTGGCAGGAGATCATTTTCCCCTACTCTTGCTAAATATAAAAAAGCCTCCATTCATTTCTGATGAAGATAAACATTAAGTATGCTAGTCTTAGGTGTCACCCTTAATAAAAATAGGGATAAATGGGATTGTCTGTGAAGCTTGCTGTTCTTATAGGAGGGAGGGTGTAATAGGCAATTACATTAATAGAAGAAACTACAGGGTGGGGTTGAGGTGTGTGTGTGTTAAATTAGCTGATAGTGAAGCTATTTTGACTTTTTACATTACTTGGTAGGAATCTATCAAACTCTGTACTAAACTGAAGAATAACACTGATTTTTTATTAAGTTGCTTTTTCTTTACTGGATTTTGTTGGGGAAAAAACAAGAAACTGCTGCCTGGAATTCTTTATTGAGGAATGTTTTGTATAGGAGTGGTAAGCGATTCAATAAGTGAGCAATTAGTGTTTAAGTATTCTGTCAGTCTATATGTCTGAACTCGCCGGATTTTTCAGATTCACACAATTTTCATTTACGCACATGCAGTGGAATGAGTGCATTCAAAGAAGAGCAGTGCATACAGTGGACATAGCAGAGAAAAAAACAAGGCCGACATTGATGGGATTTGTTTCCTAATCCTTTTTACAAAAAACAAGTTCAGGACTGCTTTAGGAAATAAATGGGAATCCCCCCCCCCCCAAAAAAAGAAAACCTTTCTTATCTCAGCAAGACAATGTCAAACCACATTCAAGAATTACAACAGCATGGCTCTGTAGTAAAGAGGTCTGAGTGCTGTGCAGTTACCTGCTGTTACCCACTGAAAACTTTTTGTGTCATATGAAACATCAAGTACGAATGGGGGAAACATTAGGTTATCGAACCTACATGTCTCGTGGGTTTCCAACAGCTTTGCTAAAAGTAGTGATGAACATGCCTGCGTTACAACTTGAGCATGTTCCAGCATTTGTTTTGCTGGCATCCAAAGCATAATCTAGTCATTAACAAACACTGGGCAGCAGGGTTTAGTGGTGCCACCCCACAGGGAGCATGTTAACTGCTAATTCTAAATTAGCTGTATTTCATCATATAATATATGAAAGTCATGTTCTGAGTCAATTCACAATTTATACAGCATCCATATTTGTGTGGAAAGCAACTTGTTCATAGCTGTACAACAGCTCTACTTCCCCACCTCCTGTATACATGCTATTGTAGCAGTCAGCAGAATTTGATTCTAGTGGGTCATTATGAAAATATGAAAATGAAAATGATGAGCAAACACTTTAGTTTTCTGGACCAATAAGGATAAGGGAGGCTTCATTCTGCTGTCTGAGTAAATGAAAGAAGTGTCAGTTATCAACTGTAGCACATGACTTGCTTGAAATTAAGTCTGTCCAGAGAAAACGCCTGTTGAGGCTCGCCAAACCACAGCGAGCGAAGTGAAAATTGTCTGCTGGCCTCCACCAATGATTTCTACTCCCCAAAATTTTATTATGAACTTTTTTCTTTCTTTTTCTTTTTTTCATTTTTTTGCAGTGGCAAAGGTTATACACACAGTGTACCACCTATCTCTATCAAATATGTACTGGTAAATCTAAAGGTCAGCCTTCAGCAAAGCAAAAACTAAAAGAAAGGAGAAAATGATGAACAAAAGCAGACAAAAAAAGCCAGGCTTTGACACAAAAATTAGAGTGTAGCTTTACCCAGAGATGCAGGTGGGAAAGAATAACTAAAAGGCATGTGACTAAATTATCGTTTTGTCTCACAACACAAGCGCTTGAAAACTGATTTGGCATTGAGGAGTTCAGTGAAAGCACTGATTAAAGGACAAACTCCTCTCTGTGCCTCCATTTTCTGTGCTTTTGAAACTTCACTTTATTTCAAAGGGTATAGCATAATGGCCAAGGGCAACAGCGTACTCAGACATCAGATTTATTGAGGCATTCAATAATATGGTTTGAACAAACACAAAACCACTTCTCTTGCCGTTAACTTCTGAGATGCGCTGAAGCTTTGGCACAGCTTTCAGACTCATTGCTTCATTTGAGAGTCTTGATGCTATTGTTACGCAAGATTGACAAACAAAAACACAGTACCCACCTATAAAACCAGACAGAAAGAGCAGCCTGTAGCGAACAGTGAAAGATACATTATGGCCACAGATACATACAGAGGAGGGAAGCAACAAAGTACAACTACTTTGTTGTTGGACTTCTGTAGAACTTCTAGGTATGTGTATTTGACCTACTTTTGGGTTTTACTCCCTACAATTTAAGAGAAATACCTCTACTTTATACTCATATATTTTCAAATGATGGAGTAGTCAGGACAAAAGAGAGCTGCAGTGGTCCAGAACAGCATCCTCAATGTAGATGTGATCACTACAGCTTCTAGCTAGACTATAGAAGAGAAATGAGCATAAAGGCAGCATAAAGTGTCAGCTAATTTCAGCTGAGCTAATATCATGCAATTTGTCACAGAGCATGTCTGCTAGCTAAACGTGCAGCTGCTGTATTTCACTGGGAGAGAAAAGAATGTGAGAAGTTAAGTCAGAGATGGAGAAAGACAAGACTGACAAAGACAGGACAAGAGAGTAGAAGACAGATTTCTATTAAAGCTAAGTCAGTGAAACCTGATAAACTGGAAATTTAAAGCCTACAAATAATGTCCACTTTCATTTTGTGAATAGATATCTGAGCTGTACACGATTTCAAGTGATGTTTTTTCACACTGTGAAACTTTTTACAACACAAATTGTAAAATGTTTGAATTACTGTCTGTTATTCAAAGGTTCAGTGAACATGCTAGGCAGGCGAAACAGGTTAGTTTGCAGTGCTGTGGAGAGATCTCAAGAGATGGACTAATGCAGTTGGCTGCCATGTTCATGGTCAATGTTAGGTTACATAAGGAATAGCAGATATCAAAGACAGCTTAGTCTGATGATGCTGACTAGATTCACTCAGCCCAACTAATCCCAGGATCTCCACTCCTGCTGAATCCCACTTTAACCCCTGATTATATTCATTTTTCTGTTTAAATGTAGAGGCAGAACCTGCCATTTACAATGTAGGTAACCACAATTAGAACTTCCTCTTTTCTGTTCTGCATAACAGATGTTTGAGATATTCATCAGAATAAGAATTTACAGCACATTACAGCAGTCACAGCGCTTCACCTGATCCACATTTGTCACATTTTGTTACAGCCTGATTCCAAAATGGATTAAATTCATTTTTCAACTCAAAATTCTACACACAATATCCCATATTAACAAAGTGAAAAATGTTTACTTGATATTGTTGCATTCAATTAAATGTAAAAACAAAAATATAATATGTGCTTATGTATTTACAACTTTTGCCATGACACACAAAACAGGTACGTATCCTGTTTGCAGCTTGATTTGAGTTTACCTGTGGTAAATTCAGTTGTTTGGACATGATTTGGAAAGGCACACACCTGTATATGTAAGGTCTCAAAGCTGACAGTGCATGTCAGAGTGCAAACCAATTCAGGACATTGATTTCAGCACCGCCCCACCAATCAGGCCTGTATGGCAGAGTGGCCAGGCAGAAGCCACTCCTCAGTAAAAGGAACATGACAGCCTGCATACAGTTTGTTAAAAGGTACCTAACAGATTCTCAGATCATGAAACAAATATTGGACTCTTTGTCCTGAATGCCAACAGGGACACTGTCAGGGTCAAGGGAAAGATAAATATATAGCAATGTACAGACACATCTTTGATGATGACCTGGTCCACAGTGCTCTAGACCTGTGGCAGGGGTGAAAGTTTATCTTCCAACAGGACAATGACCCTAAGCACACTGGCATGATAACAAGTGTGTGACCTCAGGACCACTCGGCAAATGCCCTTGAGTTACCTAGCCAGAGCCCAGACTTGAACCCAGTGCTGAAAAAATATTTAGCAAAGGCTTGTAAATACTGTTTGTATTGTCATGTACTTTTTACTTTTATGTTTGGAGCACATTTCATGGACTGTACTTTTTCAGTTTAGTAAGAAGTTGAATCAGTTATTCAGCTTTTACCAGATAATCTTTTTATAAGAATCTATAATTATATTTAGTATCTAATCGTATTTATCATAATCTGCATTAGAATATTATATTTAATATATCATATATTATATAAATGTAATAATTATATAATAATTACATTACACATTTATATAATTACGTGGAAAATGTCTGTAGTTTTGCCACCTCTGGACATATACAATGCATCTTGAATAACAATTTTAGGTACTAATTTCTATTATTCTCATATAAAGACTGAGACTGAAAAGACATGAATATTTTGACATTACAAGTATGTTTCAAGTGATTAAACAGTTTGCAAGTTGCCAATATGTCAAAGAGGCTTCAACCAAAGAATGTTAATAATATTATAAATATTATATGCTTACTACAGGCAAGTAGGGTCAAATAAAACTCTGTGTTGTTGAATTGAATTGTGGAATTGTAGCCACTCAGACACCTTTTAGATGCTGTTTTTCTGTCAAAGCCAGTGGCTCACAGGTATACACAAGGTTTCCATGATGCCATGATGGCATGATAGGTATTGTCAATAGTACGACGAGTCTTTTCACTCCCAGTTTGTCAATATGAATTCCAAATTGTCCCTGATGTTTCATGGGTGTGTCTGTAATTGGAAAGTACTGTGTGTAATATTAAAGCACTGTACAAATGGGTACATTTTTCTTCTCATGTAAACCATTACAAGTGGTGAGACTAGATTTAAATGTATTTTTTGTGAAACACCGCTTCATAACTTACTTAAGTAAAACGTACAGTTACGGTAAAGAGTGATCTTAAGACAAAATTTGTCATGAGTCATATATGCTTGACTCGTCATATATAGAAACGGACAAGACAGTCTCAGTTATTTGACATACTTGCCTGAGCACATTTGATCTAAGGTTGACACATGCCACCCTTGGGCAATGTGACTTTCCAGCCAACAGATCAATGTACAGCTGTGCAGTCTTTAAGGCCCATTTAGTTTTTGTATAGTGTATAAGATTTTTTTCTGTTATCTAATCATGTGTTTTCTGTCTCCTGCTGTTTGCAGATATGCCACTGCACGACTGAACTTCTATTTTGAGAAAAAAGAGGAATACTTTGGACTGGCAGTGAACTAATTAATCCCTCTACTTTTGCAGAACAATTATGTGTTTCTTGTGTCAAACAGTGCTGTGGACCATATGTCAGATGGTGGAAATGGAAAAGCATAGAATAACCTTATAAAAGTGCTCCCCATAGTTTGTTATTTCAGGCTGTATAGTGTGACTTAATGTGTTTTGCTATCACTGTGATTTTTAAAATATTTGTTTTACCACAGTCAGTATGCCGATAAGCCTATTTGGCAAATTGAGAAGAGGCTCGTGCCAGAAATGAATTAATTGTTCCCACATTCAGCCGAGTCACATAAAGCCACAAAAATTTAGCTTGATCATAAAACACATAAGAGGGTTATTTGCAGGCTTATTCAGTGTGTACCACAGTTCTGGTGGAAAACAAGCTTTCATTTCAACTTATTTACTGTACCAAGGGCATTATTTTAATGTTTCTCTTTCAGAATGACTTGCTATAAAAATATCATGTGTGACTTACAGGGTGTTTGTTAATGTTGCCATAAAAGGAAAATTTAAGAGAAAATCTTATTGAAGCTGTCCCTGTGCGAAGACAGGCGAAACTGAATCAGGAGTTACATGGTATGTACATGAACCAAAATGCAATGCTGACTGATATCAGTGCTTTAACAAGTGGATTTTACTCACTCTGTTCATTTAATAAGGTAAAAATGTACTTTAACTCCTAGTAGTGATCTGTTTTTTTAAAAATATTCATCAAAATTTAGGCCCACAAACATTGTATGATCTTGGTGTAATCTCCTTGAATATGTCTCACAGGATGTTAAAAAACAATGTAATGTATAATGGTTTACTAAACAAAAAGCAGATTAAGGGAGCGCACACTAGGGCAAATCTGTAAATAAGCAATTTAAAATTGTCATAGCATAACAGGCACAGCTGTAATTATTGCTTTTTTTGTCATAGAGACTTGTAGGAATAACTAACCATTCACCCTTTTACTTAGATTTAATTGTCATGTTCCATGCATATACATAAACAATGAGATGGTTATAATTGACCAACATCAGCTCAATTCAAATGCACTTATATAGCTCCAAATCAGAACAACACTCGCCTCAAGGTGCTTTATGTTGTAAAGTATAGACCCTACAACAATATATTTGAAAATAAATAAGAGGTGTTAACAGGTACACTAAAGCTACTAGCTGAGGACATATTATTGTAAAAATACGTTCTGTCATGCATTTAAGTGCACTTAAACTGTAATTATGAGGCAGATCGCTCACATTTTTATGCTTCCAAAGTATATAAATAACAGAACATAATGATATAAAGAGACAGAAATGAGCAGTGTGATCCAGATTCAACTTTGTAACTGTAAGAGCTTTTCAAATGAAAGCTTTCTTTATTTCACTGTTTAAAAGAATCTGGTATTGATCAAAAGTGCTACACTGATAGTTCATATAGGTAATGTAATTCAGTGTTGTACCACATGTATATGATCACATGAAATAGAACTTCAATTGTAGTAGAAAACTGAGTAAAGGCCATTAAAACAATAACTCTGGCCAATATCAGGAAGATGCTACCCTTTCTTATGTGCAGCATAAAGCAGTGGATTTGTCCTCACTCCTAAAAATATTGGTTTAGTGAGAATACAGCCTAAGTAGAGCGTGCAAGAACTCGCAAGAACAGAAATAGTTACATGCTAATAAGACAACTTCAGCTCTTTGTAGCCTTCTGCACAGACAGCACGCTAATGCAAAAGTAGCAACAAAAAAAACCCTAGGATGTTAAAGTCATTCTGTGAAATGAAATAACATACTGATTACTTTTAAGAAAAGTAATTGGTTATGTGTAACACATTACCTTTGTTGAGTAACAACAGCAAAACTGAGTAGAGTGATGTAATTCTGTTGTGAATACTTGTTTAGGCTAAGGCAGGGTGGATGGCAGAGGCTCCATAGCTCATTAGCACAACTGTCTGATTCTTAAAATCAGCAAATACTTTTTCAGTATTTGACCAAAACCACAGTTTATTTTTCTCAAATGTTCACCAAGTGCTTATGGCCTTGTGATATATCTCCCACTGCCACAGTATTTTCACAATTGTCAAAACAGTATTTCCAGAATTGTCAAAACAGTTTCACCACAAACTCCATTTAATGGCTGTTCTGAAGTTTTTGATCCTATCACTGTATCTTCAGTGGATGGAGCAGCTTAGATGTCATGGAATTATCGATTTTTCTAAGCACTTAAAGGCAACTCTAGAGAAGAATGTCTGCATTTGGATGATTCACTAGAACCTCAGACTATTTTGTTTTCTAACATTTGTAATGTCATTGCTCGGATTCTGTAACAGCATCTGCGGAATAACTTGAGGGTAGAGATAGCTTGAAGTTATGGCACATAAAATATCATTAGGGAATAGTTAGGCTTGGGTAAGTCAAGGCTGGTTTTTATGCTTTGGCTCTGTGGTCTTACGTGTTATTTAGTTTCAAGGTACCCAAAAAGTGAGTGACCTGTAAGCAGTGTAGAAACAGATGAAGCTACTGTGATACCTGCTGTATGTATTCTCTCCAGACACAGAAGGTTTGAGAAAGACATCACAATATGATTGATAAAATCGTGAAGCTAAGTGATACCAAACTCCTGTATTAAAGTTGGTCTGTACACCACCCCAGCTTCCACACCCTTGTAATGTGCATTATTACATAAAAAGAAGAGTGCATCCTGCAGTATTGAATGATGGCATTGGGCCTAAATGTTATAACGCAACAGGCATTGGCCAGTATACGCATATAAACGCTTGAGATGAAAAGCTTTGCGGCAGAGAACAAAAAAGGTTGAGGGGTCAAAACTCTTGAGACTGAGTGAGAAAATCAAAAGCAGGAGGCAAATATGGAATCTACAATGGAAGAGATTAAAATATGACTATAATAACTGGAAATGTTATGTTAAGTGAGAGATTTTATCCATAAGACTTTTCTTTTCCAATGTTGGTTCCTTGTAAGATAAATGGTTGGTAACTTGTCCTTCAAACAGTTTTGATTGGTAAATGATATGTTTGTGTGTACTCACAATCAAACACATCGGTCTTTACAAAGTACATGTGACATGCTCAGAAATGTCAATGAGTCCTTCCACTCTATAACTGCTTCTACTGTCTTTATCTGTGAAGGGAACACAAAAGGGAATGTGATTGTAAAATCAGTAGAAAGGATTATGGCGGGTCAAATGAGGGGAGGACTAGCTACAATGGCGTTCTTTACCTCCTCATGGTCGCGCACAGTTCCACTCATCAAGGCTGCAGCCGTGTCTTTGAGTCAAACAATCCAGCTGCTTTCATGCTGGCATTTTTCGTTAAACATATAATATTTAATTAGCGGACTAATGCACTTAAAAAGACCCAAGGACTTTGGATCAAAAAGAAAAAAATTGGCCTTTTGTCCATTGCCTATTTTCCTGAAAAAGTGCTGTAGATTTTTTCTTTCACTTTTAATTGCATTAAAAAAAGAAGTATATGCCTTTATGCAATGTTTCAAAGACATAGAAACCAGGAAAAAAAAACCTGTGAAAGCAATTCCTTTCAAAGGGCTTTTTTGTATGATTCTTTTATTCAGACATTGCATTTAGATTTTTGGTTATTGTTAAAGGACTGACAAGGCTGTTGACCCTTGGGATTCTAATAAGTACCCAGTTTGCAATTGTAATCAACTTACATTAGCAACAATATACTCAAGGGAAGGTTTTACTATAAATTCACTTGTTATACATGTTACATACAATGCACAACGCATGCTTTTTGTTCCTATATTATATAGAGTGCTGTCACTTTCTCAGTTCCATTTCTAAATTCACAAAGTCAAACCTTCTCCTGTTTGTTTTCAAAACACATGAGCCACGTCACCAACTATTCAGTATAGCAAGTTCAAAACTAAAGGCATTTCCATCAACCCCAGCTGTTCATTTTTTCTACCAGTTTGCAAACTGTGTGCTAACAGGCTAACTCGAAAAGCTGTCTCTTAGCGTTTAGAAACCCTCATTATTTAATCAATTAGGTTGCAGCTCCCTTGTTCACAAAAAGTTATATTTTAAAGAGTAATGTGAGAAAAGTATAAAAATCTTATTGCTCCTTCATCTATGACTTCCACTTTCCCAGTTAGTTTATCAGCTCAGTTGCTCATTTGAAGTGTTGTTAAATACCGCCTTATGTCCATTTGTATATTAGGGCCCCAATTAGGATCCAAAAGAAGTATAACACAGGGCATTGGGTTTGATGAGTAACTACCTCAGTTTCTCAGTGAAGAACCATAGCTGACCATGATAAGCTTCAAAAAGAGATAATCTCATGAAGGGTATGACCATCTTCTTTATACAGTCTGTGATTTTCCATCAAGACCTACAAGACAGCAGACGTCTGAAAAAGTGTGGAATTTGTGTGTTTTGTGCATGTGGAAATAATTTAAATGTAACGGTAAAGTGCAAGCATATATAGACTATAAACTTTCATTTGTGTCAAATTTAGGGGAGGAAGCCGTGTTTCTGCCCCAAATACCCAGAAATATTTAACTTTATTAAGAGATTTAAAAAAAATTATTTTAAACTGTTTTTGTTTTGTATTGCTTTTCAGTTGGGAAAATAAAACCTCTGGTGTATGTAAAAGCAAAGGCTTGTTTTAGATATCATATTCACGTGACCATACAACTAACTACACCACTGCGCTGCATTAGGTGGCGGAAATGCAAGAGATCAAAAGCCAGGCAATATCGCAAAAACAGTGAGCATGGAGAAGATTCAAGCTGTGCTCTTGTTGATTGTAATTTTTTTTTTTATGCTATTCTTGAGTTATTTAAAGCTTCTTAAATCTAAACACTTCAACAGCATTTTACAAGCTACAGCAGAGAAATAACATGAGAGAGATAAAATACTCGACTCGGAAATGTTCATGGCTGCAAACCAAACCCAAGTGCACCTGAACATTCAGAGAAAACAACTTTCCCCCTGACAAGGAATTTTTCTTGGGGGGCGTCCTCTTTTTGCCAAAAAGTGCAGTGGAAATATACCGAGTTGCTACAAATACTTGTAGTCCATGAGGAAAGTTTTTGCAGGGAAAACGCTGCTGCCTAATTTCACAATGTAGTTAAAAGAACAGTTAGGAAAAAACAACCTCTAAATCATACGTAGACTTCTAGACGACTTTTTACCTGATACATCACACAAGTGGCACCCGTTGTGAAACACGATCAACTCGACAGGAGTGAAAGGGTCAATTAGTCTCCTTTAAATCAAAAGCATTTCAAGGATTAAGCATCATGAGCTCAAAGAGGATGTAGTGTGCTGCAGCACCGTGACCATTCTGTGTGCTTTAATGAGTAGTGGAGCCTCAATGATCATAAACGGGCTGGCTTTGATGCCTCATTGAAAGAGCCTCTCCAACACGTCTGAAGGGGGCTCCTCCTTTGTAATAACAATTTATAATTCTCTTGATCTAAATGCCCAATTGGTGGGGAGAGGGGAAAAAGAAAGGATGTGGTTCTTTCTAGTCTTCAAGACGGTTTTTAAAAATCAAAAAGTGAATTTGCCTAGAGGGCCCAACCAAGACCAGGTTTCCATGAAGAAAGCATCTCAATATGTCTCATCATCCCCCACACACGAAACCTATGAGAAAAGAAAGGTAAATTCAAAGTCTATAATCACACACTTTAAGTTTACTAATAAGTACATTTCTGCCTTATATGAAAGAAACGGTTGCCAACGTTATTAGCCAAGGTGTAGAGCTTTACTGCAAAACATTTAGTTTTCTTTTGGTGTGTGGCTGTCAAGTCATTTTAGTTATGTCCATGAAGTTCTTTGATTGATATAGTACAACTGATCCTGTTATGGAGGACACAGTTTGTGCAAATGACCATAAAATATATCACTGCAACCCACTGTTGCTAGTTGTGCATTTAGCTACCAGTAGCTACAACAACTGGGAAAAGTTAATGGAAACAGAGGATTACATCATTTTCCTTCAGGGATGAAATGTTAAGGGATAAATAAGTTTGTATACATTACTGCAGGAATGTACTTGAAATTATAACTGTGCTGTAACAAGCTACACTAACCTTTGTTGAGGTGCTGAAAGCGTCGCTTATGCTCACACCAACTGTGCACATACGCCCAAAAAAAACCCCTGTCAACTTGAAAACAACTAAATGTTCATCTTGAAGAAAGGAAAAAGGAAATGTAAGTTATGATGACTCGTTTAAAAAGCTTAGCATGGCAACAGTGCAAGTATGATTTCAAACACCCCTCCCAACTAAACGCTATAGCATAGCACACGCACACATGCTCACAAAGGAGTGTGTGACAAACTTGCCGGCGCCCCTCGCTGGGTGACGCTACAGTTGATTTGGGAATTACAATTAGATTTATGATGTGGCTGCATATGGCTAAGCTCTCTGTTTCTCTCTCTGAAATGCTGGGATTGGCTGCAGCGAGCACCGGCGCCGTGCCGTATACACCACAGCACAGTCAGAATGTGTGGCGTTACCTCACACACGCACGCACGCACAATGGAACAATAGGCCACATTTACCGTAATGGGCCACCAAAATATCAAGAGCGAGTGGAATAACTCAACTTTGGAAACAGACAGCCTTGTGTTGGAAATTATTAGATCCCTGGAAAGTAAGGGTACTATTTAGAGCAATGGAAATAAAAATTCATGCAGCACTACCTGTAAAGTTGTGCGCATCGCTTTCATACACAGAACACAATATGTTGGTGGGGGGTTTTCTGCAAATGAACAATTTTACAAAGCATTCAAAAATATTTTTCCCACCCAAAATTAAATACATGAAAAAAATAAAAGCAAAAATCTCAAGTCTTTACTTTTTTTTATTTATATATATTTTTTGATTGTCTTTCTCACCAAGTTGTACTGACACTTTTTAGAGCCAAAGCTGGCTAATAAATACAATGAAATGTTAAAATGCACAATTGGATTTCAAATACAATACTCATCACAAAAAAAAAAAATGTGTGTGACCAGGAAATGCTATGTTCTTCCTCTGCGGGTCACAACTGACGAGAGCATGAGGTTACCTTTCCAAAGAGATCAGAGGCGATGAGACCCCTTCAGGTGATACTAGAGCTGCGGCAACAAGATCTGCTTAAATAAATGAAATGCTTCCAAAGAAATGGCAATTTACTGGTGCCTCGCATGTACCAGGCTTCAAAAATGTGACTTTTAACTGACTAATATATCATGTTTAAAAATCAAACAACAACTTCACATTAGTCAATACTAAAAAACAAAAACAAACAAAAAAACAGATTCATATCCAGTGCTTAGGATGTGTATGAGACTAACAGAAATGTCTATGCACGAGGCTTTTTTTTTTATGTAACACAAGCAAAATCAGTGTTCAGTCCCAGCTTGTGAAGCATTTTCCAAGTAAAAACCGCCAGATATGGTCGTGAAGAGAAATTTGGGATCAAGATGACCGAAGCAGCTGAACAGAGCACCCAGAAACCACCCGAGGTCACACGTTTTAAGAATGGAAACATTAAAAATTTCAGAGAATGCTTTGAAAAGAGTAAAACTAAGATTCGTCTGCAGAGACATTTGAGTAAAACAGAGACTCATCTTCAGATGAGTGGAAAAACTTGTGTGCTCTGACTGGGGCGGTGGTTACTGAGAGGCAGACTGGTTAAGCACCTTTCCCCTTCGCTAATGTTCTCTTAATAATTTGCTCATGTTCAAAATACAAATGCAGTGTAGAAAAAAAGGTACCCTTTTGAAACAGCGGACCTATTAAACCCATTTTCTATATAAATAATTTTTTAAAACACAAGTTTGGCATATATTTCCAACATAATGCTAAGAAGACATTTAAAAATTAACAAGCTAATAAAAGAAGTAATATTTGTTACATTTTTGTACCAATGCTAAACACAATACAGTGAAGGGATTTATGATATTACAATTTCTTATCCTACAGTAGGGTCATCCAGGGGTGCACCTTCATCTTCCTATTCCAACTGAATGAACAGATTCAAAGGTTCACTTTTAAGACTAGGGGGATTCCTAAAGTGATATTAAGATAAAGGCTACCTTTACCTTTAGACTGATTTAAAGGGACAGAAACATTTCTAATACTGCACTGCACTTAATGCATTTGGCCTCAAAGAACATTGGGCAGTGTGGTTTATGGAAGCACTAGTGCAGTGGAATAAAGGAATAGGCGCCTTCGATGCTGCTCTTCTAACTACGTCTCAGAGCCATAGGGTCTGCCAGAGAACGACATTCTGTGTGTGTGTGTGTGTGTGTGTGTGTGACTAAGCAAGTGTGATGAAAAAATAACCTCCCTGAGCACTGTTTGTGTTTGGGCCAGGAGGGGAGCCAGCAGTTGATGAGTAGGAACCCACTTCATCAAATAGAAAAAATTGATTGTATAAGACTTTTGCAGCATTGGAAATTAAGACTACAACATCCCGAGTGAATGTGAATGTTTGGCACATTTGAAGAAAATCTGTACAATTTATGGGTACTTACTTACTTATTTAATAAT